CCCATAACGCAAGCGTAGGATCGCCCAAGAAAATTGAAGCTTCGAAGGAAGAATATCCGATCAAGGATATCACAGCCGAGGAAATAAGGTCCGGCGGAAAGCTCTGGTACGAAATAGACTGGGAGGGTCCATACGACAGAACTTGGGTATGATGCAGAATCCTCTTCGAGACAGCAAGCTGCTAACCGTCGCCCCCAGGAGCCTGCAAAAAACGTCAACGAAGCTGCCATCCGGGATTGGCAAAGGAAGAAGAGAAACGCGCGCAAGCAGGAAGAGGAGAGGAGGCGCGTACGCGATAGTACAGGTGGACCTTCAAAACACAACCCGGACAGTAGCCAGCCCATCCGTACAGCAAAACGAAAGCGAATATTGGAGGCACGTGTTGGCGACTCTACAAAGAAGAAGCCTAGACGGGTAGGCACAGCGGAGACTGCTAGATTCCAGTCAGTGTCTCAGGAAGAAGCTCTTTTTGTACCTCCATACAGAGCTCCCAGCGAAATAAAGGACAGCTACGAGGAGGAGTTATCCAGCGGTGGCATCTACAAAAGCAGGCCCCAAGTTATTCTCAAACCGCCCGAAGATTTTAACCCTGACGAGTACCAGAAGGTTGCCTCCTCGCAGCCCTCACAGCAATCGTACCCTGATCAGTCGATTGGTCATTCAGCAACTACATCGTCACAGTCACAAGAACAGCCACAGAATAAGCCTCAGAAACACCAATATATTTGGGACGAGGAGATTGAAGTCGCCGATTCTCAAGAGCTACAAGGATCTTCTTCCTACAAGCCTCCAGAAACACAAGTCTCAGGAACAAGGGCGGAAACCGCATCAGAATCCGATACAACTTTTAGGAGCACGTTGCTAACTTCGTCCCGTGACGAGACTGGTCTTTCTAGTTCTGAAAGGCAAGTCGCTGAATCGTTAGACTACATACCCAGTACTAGTAATCTTGTTGATTCCCAGCCTATCTCTGAAGAACGAAGCACAGGAGCGACTGCTACTGAGACTCGTGAAGATACTACACAAGAGCATTCTTCGGAGAGTTATCCTGCCGTCAACAGCTCGTCCAGCAACGCGTTAGGGGATTCTGCACCACAGAGTGTTTCCAGCGCCCACCTAGAACTTTCTGTTCCACAGGAAATTGAGACATCTTCGGGGGAGCCTATAGACTCTTCAGCTGTTGCAGGCGAACCCGCGTCGGAAGAAAGCAGTCGTATTACAACTCAGGTGGAAACACCTCCAAATAGACAGCCAGACTACCCCGATATTCCGAGTAGTTTTCCTTTTTTGACCCAACTTCCATTACTTGAGAGCTACGACAACGTAGTGGGAGACGAGGTTGTCGCGTCAGTCGAAGCGAGGTAAGTCATCATTCGATAAATTTACTTTGTACAACAACAGCGGCAGACGTTATACCGGTGATTTGTTCTCTATTATCCTCTGAAACACTCGGTTCCAGTGGATTGTCGTGGTTTTAGGCTTATATGGGTCACGAAGACTATACTCTCACTTGCCTTCGTGCCTTTGAAGGACTTTTTTCATCAACTGGAACTTTGCATATTTCAACCCCGTCCAATTTTCCCATATCTTTCTTAGTGTCTGAGTACTCATGTTTCGTCATAGGCGTTCCGAATCTCAAAGCGGCCCGAAAACCCCTACTAGGCCTAGCCCGCCACTATCATTTGTCGGAGCAACTCAGTCACAACAGTTACCAGTAGAATCTCCACAACGAGGGTCACATTCACAGACACAAGAATCCTTTTCTAGCCTTGAGCAAGCATCGCAAACGGTATCTGCACAGCTTGCTGTGGAGGCTTCATTAGCGGGCCAGAATAGTTCCGCATTAGGGAGCGCTCAAGCAGGCTTCTCACAATTACAAGATACTCCTTCCCTTGAAAGGTCGGCATCAAAAGAAGACCTGCAAACTCAGACTCCCACATCACAGAATCACATCGCAGCTACGGGGTCAAGTCAATTTGAGAGTTATCTAAGCGATTCGCAGGGGACTGTCATAGCCAGCATTGAGCACGTCCTACGATCTCCTCAGACGCCCCTCAAACGGTCGCCATTTCCCGACTCTGATATGGACGCCCAGTCCATTCCCGGTCAAGCGATGGATACGAAAAAGCTGATGAGGGAGATGAGGGAGGCCAGGGAAAGGGCTAGTGCAAAGAGACTTGCGGAATCAGCGTCTAGAGAAGCCTCGACAGTCCCTCCATCTCCTTTAGTAGCAGAACCCAGTCACATGTTACCTCTGCGCGAAAATGTTACCGAACCTGCCGTTCCTTCACCTATGGTAGAGCCGGCTTCCTCACCCAAAGTCTTTGCTGACGACGACGAGTCGGACGATAGGGCTCTTCGGATTCTGCCACTGAAAGCCAACATCTACGTCGTTCCATTGCCTCTTGAATCACAAACTAGGGATATCTATGTCCAAACCGTCAGAAACAACAAGCAACAGCGACTTGACTTTCTTCCTGATGGCGTATCAGACCTCAACTTGATCAAAGAGATTGACCTCATGATGGATGACTTGAGAGCGCTTTGTAGTCACCCAGACCTAATGACTGAGGAAGATTTCTCTATACAGAGAGAGGAATCCGAGGAGAATCAAGCGAAACATGCAGAGACAATAAGTACGAAATGTATATTTATCGCAGAGTTCATCGATGCTATTCGTCCTTCCAACCAGCACATTGCAATCTTAGCCCAGCCGGGAAGAATACAGGAAATTCTTAAATGTATTCTCCGATACCATGGATTTGAGAGTGGACCCGATGGTCCAAATCTTTTCCGCGATGCTTCTGGAGGGCTATTGACGATAGCTCTACGCTCAACAACAGAGAAATATATCTCTGCCCAGCCAACCTCTGCAATTATTGCCTTCGATTCGCCTTTAATATCTAGAGCTTATGCAAAATCTACGGGTGCATTGATCTCCCTGGTGGTGTTAGACTCAATTGAACACATCGAGTTGTGCGTTGAAGACATCGCAAATCCAATCGAGAGAAAGCAAACAATTGTCGACTACATATCACAATTACAGGAAGAAATTGGCAAGCTGGACTCGGATCATCCCCCACCCCCAGAGGCTGCAAAATTAAGTGCAGAATTTGTGATGAATATGGCACAGAACTCTTGGCCAATACTGCCTATGCCTGAAATTACGGGACTTGATTTTAGAACCCCTTCTCAATCACAACCGAGAAGCGAGGTCATGTCTGGGTCTGCAACCCAATCTTATGACATGCAAACACAAGTCCCCCAGTCAAGTGGCAAGCGACAATTTGTAAGTGCCTTGTAATTTTGTTGTAGACTTACGCTAATAATTTAGGGCTTGGATGATGTAGTAGGGTCTGGATCACCGAAGCGGCAGAGGCTCTCACCAAACCCCAGCACGCTTGCTGAGCAAGCCCCTGACAAGGAATATATCGGTGAAACTCTCCCGCAATCATTATCAGACAAGCAGGGCTCTGCAGTCGCCGAGGCAGCGGAAACAACCTTAAAAACCATCGCTCTTGACGATGCCCAAGTATTTCAAGTCTCATCGCTTCTAGAACGGATCAAAGAAGTTGAAGATCGACTGCAACGCAAAGATGCTTCAGAAGCCGAGCTTCGTGAGCGCAATGAGAGGCTGGAAGCGCGGTGCAAAGACCTCAAAGCAGGCTTGAAAGAGATAGAGCCAAAGTACCGAGAAGCACTCAATGAACGCGGCCAATTCGAATATGAGGTCAATCAAGTCCTTCAACGAGATAGTATTCTTCGGAAGAAATACGATAGCGTAGTTGCAGAACTCACTAAAGCCCGAGAGCAAAAAGTAGCCGATGATGCAGAATTAGCAGCTGCCAGAAGCCGCCTTGCTTCATCCGCTATCCCCGAAGTCGCCGAGATGGCACAGGTGGCAGAGGCAGTCCGGGTCATCCAAAGCGAGAACGAACGGCTAGCACGCCGTTTTGAGAGCAGTAAAAAGGACGCTGAATTCGCTCGTGAGCAATATCAGCAGGCCTCATCCGCGGCTGGCGAATCTGCGCGTGAACTTGCTGCGCTGAAAGAAGAGACAGCTGCGCTTAGAGACAAAGCACATGAAAATACCGTCCGGGTCCACGAAATCTACCATTCCAGCGAAGTGCAACAACACCTCGACAAAATCAAAGAATTGAAGACGGAGAAGGAGGCGCTGGAATCAGATCTGGAGAAGAAGATTGATGAGGTCAAGATGCTTATGAGTGGCCGCAGAGGTATGCGAGGTAATAGTGTTCCACGCAGTCCGCGCATGGGCAGTGCGAGTGTCATGAGTCCGGGTCCACAGAGAGCTATCGGTAGGGTCATTACGAGCGGCAATCGAAGTCGGGGAAATAGTCCTGCGCCGGGGGAGGTGCAGGTTAGAGGGGTCTTGCCTTCGGAAGCGCTGTTTCAGGGGCCGCAGAGTCGGTGGGGGACTCATTTGCAGGGCTGATGGGATGAGAGGGGGTTTTTAAACTCATCATGGCGGTCTGGCGTTGGATGGTGGCTGCATTGAATTACGGAGATATTTAGCGCGGGCCATCGACAGATGAGCCCTAGGTGCGAGCTTGCATAGCTTATTACGTATTCATGATTTGACAACTTGATTCTCCTATGTTTATGAACTTCTCTTTGCTAGCTGTATCATGACAGACAATGGTGGATTGCAGAATGGTAGGAGGGTGGGGCAGAAGCACCCAAGGACTCCTTGGATAGTGCAGAATTTTGTTGTTCTCTGTCTTTAATATCTAGTAAGTAATTCCGGAACTTCGATCCTCCTAGTTTCCGAGGTATGAAAATCATACGGAGTGAGAGTCAATAGTTTCACTTAACACTTACCAGCAGCCTCCATCCCTAACAACGCCGTATAAAATTTGCATGTCTTCATTATTCTATGTAGACATTCAGCCAGCTAGCTAAAACTTTCGTAAATAGCGCCATCCATCCCTTAGCATGCCTCAAAAACGAAAAAAGCAAAGAACTAGAGTCACACCACTCTAATCCTCCTTGATAACCTTTGCGAACTGGGTTCCCTTGGCGCGCTCCGGCTTGCCAGCATCCAGTCCCTTCGTGCCGATCTTGTCCTTGCTGTAGCCAGCCGCGTACGGGTTGAGTCTGAGCAGGACCTGCTTGTTGTGCAGCGGGTTCTTCTTCTGGACACCGGCGCGCTTGGTCTTGCTGAAGCCCTTGGCGGCGCGGATCACGTTCTGGATTTCAGACGAGTTGATGAGACGGCCAACATCGGCTTGGTGGACGATGGGCGATGGGAGCAAGAAGTCCTTCTTCAGCGCGGAGGGGGTGGTGCTGCTGCCGTAGATGATGTCGAGGGCCTTGAAGGCGGCGGATGTCCAGATGATGAAACGGCCGAGATGTCCTCCTGGTGCGAGCTGCAGCAGGTTGAGGGCAAAGACGGAGCTGGTCTCTACACCGGCGATGTTGCGGAATGCAAGGTTAAGTTCCTTTCCGTCGACTTCTGGGTCGTAGACGACGAGAGGGCCACGGCGTTGACGGTGACGGCGTCCACGGAGCTTACCCTTACCTGCGCGGAGCTTGCGGGACTTCTTGACCTTGTCGATATCTGAGGACGCACCGATTGACTTTAGGAGTCCGAGAGCAGCAGATGTCTTTGCGATCGCAGCGCCGGAGAAGACCTCGGAGTTGATGACGAGAGGGACTTCTGGGACGGTGGAGACTTGGTGACCACGGGCGAGGAGGAGAGCTGGGACAGAGGAAGCAGCCAAGGCGGAAACGGTAGCAAATCGCCTGGAGAAATTAGAATTTGAGAATTCTGGGAGGAGGGGAAATGCTCACTTCTGACCAAGGTTGATCTTCTGGTGCCACTTTCTCCAGACCTTTGTAGGTGCGAACATACGACCAGATCTGCACATGTTACCGAAAGCAGCCTGTCCAGCACGGTGAGTTCCTCCTCCAGAGACACGGGGAATACGGGCAACAGCGCGACCTGTGTTGAAGTAAATTAGCCATTGCTCCTCAATTGCCTCCCAAACAGCCGAATTTGCGGAATCTTCAATTATGTCCATATTGTAGATATCCATATAATCTCAATCTCACCCCCGCCCTGCGAAAATCCAAGAAAATTGTGTGTACTAACCAGTACCCCACGACTCAGCAGAAGTTTGGTGACCAGCCTTCTCGCTCACGGCATATGGTTGACGCTTGTTCTTCGCAACACCAGTGTGGACGGTCTGGACGATATCTGGGCGGATTGGGGAGTTGAACACCTATATTACAATTCCATCAGCTCAATTCTCGTCCATCTCGACGCCCACACAGCGCATCAACACGCAAATCGATTTCGAGGCATAGCCGTACCTTTGGGAGAGGGTGGGTTGCACCGCTGGCAGAGCCATCGGCCTTCAGGATGGTGACAGTTGGACGGGAAGCCATCTCGACGGATTAATGGCTGGGTGTCGTTGTCGTGTGGTTGTCGAAGTTTGGCGTTGAATTTCGTCGTCAAAAATTATTCGAGGTTCATTTTGCAAAAAGCCCCAGTGGTGCGGGCTAAGCGAATTTACCTCACGTGACTCGGAATTTTATACTTGCAATTTTTGTCATTGCCCTCTTCATGACCATGACACTCTCATCTACTTGCGACGGAAGACTGAATACTTATGAGTGCGCTTCAAGAAACAAACAGTAGACCTTGGACCTCACTTGTATTTCGGATTCCCAACTCAATTTGCCCATAGAGTCTAGTGAGTAGTAGTTATGATACCACCAAACCACGACCGATTTCCACTCTTTCTTCAATATCATGAGTGCATTTGAAACAAGCGTCTTGCAAGGCATTATCGTATATCAATATAGGCAAATCAAATTCTAAGCTTATACTCCCTCTACTTCACCCCCACAATTCATAACTCACATCATTTCCATCCGCTCCTCAAATTTTCCCATCAAAAGCTCCTCTCCCCTCCTCCCAAAATATTCCTCCTTATTCCAAAAGACAAAAGTTTGTCCCCGAAACCGCTTCCGCTCCTCAGCCGTCTCGTAAATTACGATTTCAGCATCAATGATTCCATATCAATGAATCCAATAGCAGCAGCATACCAATTATTTCCCATGTCGTTGCGGTTAAGAAGCAAGCGGCTTCTGCTAATAACCTCAACAGCCTTGTTATGTTAACAATAATAATTGCAATACCGTTTTCTCTAGTCGCGCTTCTCTTGGCTTTCCGTGCAAGAGCCTTGCACTCGCTTGTTCGAGAATACGGCAATGTTGCCGGTTATAGCGCGGTAGTCCATTCCTATCCAGGTCTCGAGAAGGTGTAGGAGCTGCATGTTGGCGTGTGGACATGGGCAGATGGTGCACTCCGAGGTTAGGAATGTACAGCACGCGGCGGTGTATAGAGGGGTTGATGGGGAGTGGTGGGACTTGAGAAGTTCGTAGAAGCGGGTGCTGGTTAACGTTACACTGAGACAGACGGAGCGGACAGGGGGAGATGTTTGAGAATCTTTAGCAGAAGCTCGTTGGGAAGTGTCTTCTTGGCTGCATTATTATTATGTGTTTGGGAAATCCTAGGGATTGCTTTAGAATAAGTGAGGGTATGCTCAGTTTGTGACAAAATAATGACAGTGGGTATCCAGGGGCGCACTTGGAGAACATGTCACCATATGAGTCGTGATATTATTCGTATCTAAAGTTAAAATTTTGATTAGCTACAGAGTCGGATTCTTCAGTATCCAATGAATCGATTTTCTGAGCAACAAACAACGAGATATATCGTCCTCCTTCCGTCGTGACACACAACCCATCGGTTTTCTTATAGAAAAATTGGTAAGGGATCGTGGGACCTCCCTAGTAAATTTTCCTTGCTGGATTTTCCGAATAGTAAAACATACCATCAAGTCAACACTCTATTCGTGTCGGTTCTCCCTCCACAAATACCACTATTCCTTTGGCGGATTGTCATAGACGAAGGTAGTATCCTCGCCTACCTGCAACATCCATGTGATCCTAGCAAATTCCTTCGCCTGCTCAGCAAGCTCATCCATCCCATAGGACAAGTAAACATTCCGAAGTGTTAGCCAAGCCGACGTAGCTCCCTGATGGGGGTAGCCCCATCTCTTCACCACGATTGTTGAGGGCCGAGAAGGCAACACTTGGCCCCCTTTAAGAAGGAAACCTATGCTGTGGAAAGCGGCTATTACCTGCTCGACGACTTTCTCTCCCTCTCCGCGCTTAGCGAGGTCTTTGACAAGAGAGAAATGCAGATCCCACAGCTCAATCCTTGGGACTTCAGATGATGGATGCTGGAACGTCTTGTTGAATTCCTTGATGATTTCCTTCTTTTTCTTGTTGCTTGTGTTCGGGGCGGAAAAGTCTTTTATAAGCTTGCGTCTTTGAACTTTGAGAGAACTGGAACTTTCGCGTTCATCCACGCACAGAGCACAATCGCATAGGAATCCCCAGCCATTGGAAAGCTTTTTGTCCATTTCCTCCACACGCTTGATGTATTCATAACTTAGTTCTGTATTTTCTCGCATGTCTCTAGCTGCTCGGACGATCTGTAGATCACCTATGAAGCTACGCTCAGTCGTTGGATTGCAAGAATGATTGATATACGAGGCTAAAGTCCAAATTCCTGTCGTTTGAAGCTTCGAGGTTTTGTGTTGCTTGACGACTTTGTATTTGCTGGCTCGATACAGCTCCGGATCATCGAGCATATCCCTTGAAGTCAATGGACAGCCAAAGCAATTGATGTGAATTGTGTCTGCTACAAGAAATCTGTGACTAGTTAGAAGGTTTTGAAATATGGAGGCTCCATATTAGACTTACGTATCCACCACTGGTGATCCGTCAACTGAAGCACACGCCACGCCTTGGTATTTGCCATGAGCGAGATCTCCGAAAGATGAACCAAGCGTAGGATTACGAGCCAACTTGTTTGAGACGTCACGGATGAGATCTGCATGTGTGCCAACAGTAGTTCTGTTACCCGGCACATCTATCAAAACAGATATATGAGATATTCCCTTCGAGAGAGCCCTCTCCATCTCCTTGGGTGGCGCGGCAAAACAGTAAGAAAATGCTTTCTCGCAAAGGAGAAGCTCGCCAGCCTTCACCGGTTTCGTGGTAAATACTCCTCTCCCCCGCCCTGGCGAGCTTTGCACTTCTATTGGACCGCTATAGCTTGCATTGTCCATTAGAGGCGGCCTGAGCTTTGTTGCTTTGTATAATGCTTTGAAGTCGTATATTCCACTCTCTTGTTCTGCGACTCGAAGACGAGTACGATGGAGCTCGGATTTGCCGGGCGCGCTCTCGGGATATTTGCGAACGAGTATTTGCATCATTTCAAGTGCTTCCTTGAACCTCCTTAGACCATAAAGTGCAAGCCCGCCGCGATAGAGTCCTTTCTCCGATCTGTCCTGAGGATTCGCTATGAAAGACACATCGTCTAAGGCAGAATCGAAAGCTTCGATCCGAAGGTTTGCGAGAGCTTTGTTGTTGTGTAATATCTCTTCTTCTTCCTGATTTGGAGAGGACCGAAGAGCTCTCAGATACCTACCGATATTGTCAGAAGAGTAATACGTATGGTACTTGCTACATACATTTCAATCGCATCGAATAATTTACCAGCGCTTACTAGGTTGTTTCCCTTTTTCTTCCAGTACTCGGCGGTATTTTGGGCACTAGCACTTGTAGTTCTCCATTTCGTTGGAACTCTGGGGTCATCTTCGGAGAGCCAGATGATGTCTGTAGGCTGATCAACCCGGACAGCGTACTGTCCGTTTGTTCCCACCTTGAAGTATGGCTCCTTCAGTATTATAACACCTTTCTCCTTGAGAATACTCTCAGCTGCTCTGATGCTTTCGGGATCTTGAAAATACAAAGCGAACGGCATGACAGTTCCAGCTTCATCCTCAGCGATGTTCATGACTGCGGTCATCCGCATAGCTGGACAAATGAATCGCAGAAGTAGATAGGAGCCTCGATGGTTGGTTTCAACTGCCAAGTCCTTGAGCATGACCTTTTTGAGGTCCTTGAAAGAGGTCACAGATGGCGCATAGGGACTGCCAATTACGGTTGTCTGCATCATATCCTTTCTCATTTTGTTGCTCAAAGCAGCCATCATAAATTCATTCACAACCTGTGTACGAGGCGGGAAATCGTTGGGTCGTTCTCTGCAGACAGTAGTGGTTAGCCTTTGTTCTTGAAAGAGTATTTCAGGGGCCTCTGAGATGCTAAATTGGTATGAATTTCGGTATTATAAACTCTAAAGCCATATGTCCGACTTCAAAACATACTAATTGAAGAGATTCTTTTTTAAAGTGAAGGCCCGATTACCTACCCTTTGCGTCGAAATGCATTTTGCGTCGCGGTCCTTTGAGTCTTAAGAACGTCTGCGAGCTGATCGTAATAGTCATCTTCGGGATCTAAGGTCGAAGACATCGTGAAGCTCTAAGAAATCACCTATAGCCTAGAATTATAGAAGAAGCACGAAGTTGTTTTCCAAGTCCACCAGGTCCATTTCGACGACGCGGGCCGTGCGGATCTGACGCGTTGTCCTCGCCGGAATTAACGGGGGCACGTGATGCACCCCCTTTGATAAGCGACACACGGTGGACAAAAAAGCGGCACCAATTCATAAAGATAGGAGGGGTGGGACATTAAAAGTCAAAGATGATAAGTGCTACGTTTTGAGTTAGCACGAGAAAGGGTAGGAGCTGTTTTAGGTTGCGTAGAGTGTTTTTACTCTGGTTCAGTAACAATATCGAATTTGGCTCTTGCACGGCTTGTAAACTTCATCGTCGTCGCCTAGTTGAGTTCTTTTTGGTCTCTTGGCCTAATGAATAAGGTTGTGAACTCTGTAAATATCTTATAAGCATAGATTTGATATATTTCTACCTAGGTACTATCTACTTGAAATCAAGGCAAAAGAAAACTCGCAGTCCACCTTTCCACTTAACAAAAAGTCAACAAAAAGACAACAATCTATGCAAAAGTCAAAAAGTCAAAAATCAAAATGATACATTCTCGCTTCCCCCTTCCCCCTTCCCCCTTCT